CAGCTGCAGTGGACGGAGCCGCTTGTGTTAATACCAGAAAGTGGCTGTAAGCATGGAGGGTTATCCTCGGTGCTCCGTTAAAGTGAGTTGTCAGCTTCTCATCATTCCATTTCAGGTACTTCCTAGTCTTGGAAAAACCATCTACTCCAGCCTTCCAAGTCTCTCATTCTAGTAGCTCCTGGTGGTTTCTTGGGTGTCCGCTCACCTGTCTTCCCACCGCACCTCCTCATGTAGGCGCCGATGCCCGTGAGCCCACTTGTAAGTGATCCGCCTCAGTACCGGTCATCCCAAGGCGGTCGTATTGTCTCATTTTTTGCACCCTAGACGACGATTCTGAAGGCAATGAAACACATCAACTGATTGGACACGCAAATGCTGCTCAAGTTTCACCCGATTGGGGAACGAGAAAACGAATTATTTGGGTGAGTCTACCACTGGTAAACAAAATAAATAATTGACTTTTTGTTTGTTGCCTTTTTTGTCAAGTAGTTCGTTATGAGGAATTTAAAAAGGTGTGCTATCCATTTCCAAGTGATCTGGATCATTTTTCTATTCGACTGACCAATCAGGTTTGGGCTTTCATCCAGTGTATATTTCTGATTGGTCAGATCAAACGCATTTAAAATTGATGCCCACTTTTGATGTCTGGCCAACTCATTTTGACTCTTTCTACTTCTATTTGTAAGAGGAAATTTTTTTAACCCATCTTCAGAGTTTGCGGTAAGGAGTGGCAACTTTTAAGGAGCAGGAGTTGTACCTATTTTTAAACTGATCCCCCACTAGTCTTACGCAACTACCCGAGTGCTTACCTAGGGCCTGGGAAGGTTTGATAGTGGAGCTGAATCATCCTAGGATAGCCTGCTTTTGTTTTTACCTCATTTCGGTGCGTACTGAATTTCAGAAATTCCAGGTGCTTACGAATGACCGTTTTCCGTTATTAAAGAGTGATTAGTCTCTTTTGTGAACCCTTGATGGGCTACTTATGCGTGGATCAGGACTCCTGCTCTCTGAACGCATGTTCTCATTAGTAGCTGTCGAGTGGTCGCTGGGTCAGAATTTTTCGTTGACAAACCTGCACATGTTTTCTTAATCATCTACACCACTCATATATCTTGCTGCTGAGCTTTCTATCTTCACGTAACAATGTGCTTAAAATATTCCTTCCGAATGACTAATCATTCTCCAGTCGTTGATGGGACGTGAAATTCCCGAAATTGGAGTGACAACGATATTTTCGTCTTCCCCATTTCCTATATTTTTCCAACAATGTCTGACACTTTTTGTGTTTTTCAGCTTGTGATAGCTTTTGCGAATTACAAATCTTTTGCAAACTTAACATGTTGGCTGCCAGAGTCCTAGCAGCAAGTCAACAACCGCATGCGCCAAAAGCCATGTCCAACATGGAATCATTACAACAGATAAACTTACAAAGGTTTAACCGTCTTCTGCAGACTAAGTGCATTCTACATCTATTTCATTGTTTTAAGTTCTTTTAATCTGTTTGCAAAACATGGTTAAACATAAAACGCATCACAAACTGATAAAACTTCGTGTCACATATGCGTGACGCCATGTCGAGATAAGAAAACCGCGATGTTTTAGACTTTGCTATTGATGAAAATGTTAAAAATCTGTTTTGTCTTTTTACAGGCCATCTTTCCTTTCATTTTCCCTCTCATGTTGGTCTACTTTTTTGAATATCTCATCAACCAGAGTCTGGTAAGCTTTAAATACAATAAGTTGACCCTTTATATGACTCCAATGTAGCTTCGAATGAAAGTTCTTCTAACTGGATCTAGTTTATATGATGTTATTATTCAATTGCCTCTTAAAAAGTTTGTGTTCTTTGCGTCTTTCTTGAGACTATAGCAGCATTAATAGATTGGTTTGCTACTGATGTACAGAAGAGCTGAGTAGAAATGATTGAAAGACCGCCTTTGTAGGAGTGAAACTGCAAACGGCTGAAAATAAGTAATACTATTATCATTACTGCACATATTTGTCTCCCTCTGTAATTACTCTCTCGCATCACCCATTCAAAGTGTATTTGAGCCGATTTAAATCAACTCCGAAGGTCGGGAGATAACCCTACGTTTGCCTTCACATTACAGTGCCTCGTAGATTTCTAAGGAGGCTCATCCTTCACAACTTCTGGTGGTAATAAATTAGTCCTCTAAAAGTAAAAAACTTAGTCACCTTTATTACCTCCTCATGTTTGTTTTCCAACTGTCTTGCATTTCACATGCCTAATACTAATACCAGGGAAAGGTGATGATTGTCTCTTGGAGAAATATGGGTCGGACGATATGGAGGATAAGTTTTACCCCATGAGGTGTCAGTTGTTGTGTTGTCTTTTAATTAAAGGTACTTTCTCCTCCCTGATTACTTGATCTTGGCTACCCCCAAAATATTGTTTTCTTGCATACCGAGTTGTATCGAAGAAACAGGTGTCAATCGTAGTCGTTTGTCCTCGGGCGAATGAATAATTTGTACACACGCATACACAAAGCGTCCAAGTAGTGTGTCCCTTAAAGTGGGTGGTGGGTTAGCAAGTGGCTCGTTTGTCAACAATTAGGGGTATAATCTTTCTCTTAAAGAACAGCAAAAGCCATTTCTCATCACTCATCTTTCAGTCGATCCATTAAAAAACGGTTCATGCCGAATGTGCCATTAACCTCTCTCAGCCCTTCTGTGCCCCAGTGGTGAACTCCACCCTAAGCTCCTGTATCTTAAAATTTGTCAAGATGAAGGCATTCACAACTTGTAGAATGTACTGTGGTACAGCTAGGAGTGTATCCACTTGGTGCTATTCATTTCTTTAAATGAAGCACTTTTTCTGCATTCTAGTATGAACTGATCTACTTTAATGGATTGGGGATCAGCCATTCTCAACAGTATAGGTGGTAAGTTGGAACGTTCTTCCTTAACGTTACTGTTTGACAACAGGATAATCCCTTTTTGTCACCTCCTTCTACGTCTATCTGGCACACACTTGAGAGAAATTAGGCTTATCATAAGTCAGGACGTAGGTAGATCATTTCTTCCGGTTATGGCGACAGTAGATGGTTGAGCATTCATTCGTAAAACTAATACAACTACTTACGAATTATTCATTCCGCTCGTAGGCAACAATGCCACGGGTCAGTATTTCATCACCTCCATTACTGGCAGTGCAGACAGCGACTAAGGCGCTGTTTTTCCTCCTCTTTGTTGTAATTTATATGCTGTCCTCGTAAACCCATTTCTACGCCTCGGGGGGCAAGTCTTGTTGGCTTGCACTGGCAGTCATTGCTGCCTTTCCTTCCCTGACTTCACAATTGGATGGTTTTGCTCGTAAATTTGCAGGTTCCAAGTAGTGTATCAGTGCGGTGTGTTCGCCTCGCGTTCTTCCCTGAAATTCTGCCGCGTCAAGGAGATCTGGGCTCTTGCTGTACTGCAGGTAAACCATCAAAAGGTGTATATGTCCATTTTGTGTGCCCGTCGGCACCCAAAGGACTTTCGTTCCAAAGATCTGACTGAATTGTAGAGGCATGCAAAACACGACTACTTTTTAGTGGTAGTCTAAATTTCCTTTTGCAACTTAGGCGATTTTTAACAACTAAAACTGCACTTTTCATTCAGTCACATGAAAGACCTGAGAAGTAACGAAGTGTTCTCCTTTGTTGTCACCTCCTAGGGCCTCATGTTCGTCCTTTTCCTTGCGCAAGCTATCTCGCCCTTCACAAACAATATCGGGGCCTTCTGCGGAATTATCTTCTTTGAGGGCAGCCTCGGAGGTCTCGCCTACGTCAACGCCTTTGATCGTGTTCTCAGGGCAGTACGTTCGACTTCCACTCTAGATCTTTCTACATCGTTACATTCGTCAGTAGTACAACTTTCATATCTCATCTCGCATAGTGAGGCAACATTATAGCGAATGGGAAGTCTTAAGAGGTGCGAGTGGGTGCGAGAGTAGAATCGCAGCCACTTTGACTGTCAGTCACAAAATTATGTGCCGCCTATAATAACTGGTGTCTTGTGCCTGGTGACTGCGTTGTCACACAAAATTCGCATACCCACACCCTATACCCAAAATAGTCGGCGTATGACAGAAAGCTATCGCTTTCTCGTTGGTACAAGTTGTGTGTAACTTTCTTGAATAAGCTACTGTGTTTAACTCATACGACGAGCTAACTCTTTGGGGTAAAGTAGTGGCTTCTGAGAATTCGTAAAACGGCTAATTTGGCATAAACTTCACCGCGTCACTAACATTCCTTTAAATGGGTATAAATAATTCCGTTTGTGCGTTGCTTTGGGCCTTCTGATGCATCTAGGGGAAACAAATGTCGTTCCTCATCGACCCCTCAGAATTTGCAGATTCCTGTTTAGCTTGGAACGTATATGCGTCGCCTCCATCTACTACAGCTA